TATAAATAAAGGAAACTGTTATCTAATATACGCATCTACTCACTTTTTGTGTTTATAAGTAAACAAATATAAAAGTTGTAAGATATAAAATATATTTAAATTAACATAGAGAGATAATCTCTCATGGTTGCGGGTAGTTTAACAACACTGTAAGGTACGTATCCCATACAAGTGCCGCTGCTAACAGACTGTTCTGAATCCGTAGCACGAAGTGCGTTAATTAATATTAACTAGGTAGACAAGCAACGCCCCGAATACAGGCGGGCAAAATCATTGTGGTAATGTGGATACGCCAGACTGATGAAAACAAATGAATCACGCCAGCAACGGTCGGCGAACTTGTTAAAAACAAATAAAGGTCTACGTTAAGCTGTTTTCCGCATGCGACATTATCATTGATTACGGAATATCTTTGATTAGATTTTTTTCAATTAAGGTTGAAAGAAAGTATTATGCTTATGAGATAATTAAGTTTGTTTTCTATAATCAAATTACACTCAACACCGTTTTTGGTTTCATTCATAGCTAAGATTTATTATTAGCGTGCGTGTTTCACACTAATAATTTTGCATGCATAATAAATAATATATAGTAGTATTACAAACTACTAAATTAGAAGAATACGTTTTGTAGTAAAAATCTGTTTCGGAAGCGATGACATTAAGCCTGTAATAGATTTAAATTTAGTCACAGCTCCCGTACTATCTCGACGCGCTCTGATTAAAAATTCTAATAGCGCAACGATTACATCACTTTGGTAACCTAAACAAAAACAATTTACTACTTAATCAGAGAAACTTCTATCGCCTAAGCTTTAATAAATATTGAACATATAATATAGCGAGTTCAGTCCAAGTGTGGAAAATTTACATTCTATTGCATGATAATTTCATAGGATCTGATTTGGTATATGGTATCAATTAATATAAAGCAATATTTAATGAAATGTTTATGTTTATAAAAACGATGACATATATTAATCAAAGCTTACTATGAGACATACAGAGCAATCTAACCTTACTATGTTAGCATAACTGGATAGCAATGTGTCACGTCATCGACAGTAAAAAGATTCGTACGCACTATTGTGCATCGAATACCTTTGTTGTGGCACACTGACATTTGTCGAGCGACATTCGATAGATTTCGGAGAACAAAACGCGTTTTGTGCTTCGATTTATTATCGCCAGCAAACAAAGGTGCATCGGCCGTGTATCGACAGGTTTCGAGCAGAACGGCCCAGATGTGCGCATCATAATTGGGCTTTGATTAAACATCTCTAGTGATTAAAGTTTGGATCGTAGAACCGAATTTGTTTTGACAGGCTGTCACGCTTCGGCTACTCTCCGTTGCTGTTACATTTCTATGGTAAACAATTTTGCTTCATATTTGTTCATCCGTATCAGTGACCTGAAATAAGAAGTTCGATTCATGATCGAATGGATGACAGATATTTTTTTCTCTTTTTCTCAGATAACTTTGACAGGTCTTACAAGAATCGGTACCTAAAATGGATACAGTTTACGGGTAAATTTGAACGTTCTAAAATAAATAATTGCGACGGACAGTATCCGAACACAAAAGACTGAATTATCCGATCCTTCGTCAAACAGTACCTTCAAACAGGACTGCTATTCGTCGAAAAGACACTGTATGAATAAAACATGTATTATTTGAAGAGGACAAAGACCGTTCTTACGCGAGCGAGACAGTCTACCCGGTAGCAGGGTTGTTGCTGTATCTAATCATATCTTAGTGGTGAAATGAGAATAACGAAAATATGATTATTATATTTTAACAATTTCGCATTCACGATGCTATAAAATACTGATAAATATTTTTAATATATTTAAAAAAATATTTGAATGAAAGAAAAGGAGTGGACAAAGAAAAAAAAGTATTAAGTAAGCAAACATTACTTTCTGAGTGCTACTGGACTGATTTAATTACAGAAATACTTTTAATTACCGAAATATGGCCAAAGTAAATTGGCTCCAGTTCGGCCTTTAGACGATTTTAAATAAAAATATACCCAATGTCTGAAAAGATACTATTATATTGTATTGTTTGTTTAATATCAATCTCAGCCGTAGGTACTTACTATCAGACGCGAGGAGTACGGGCCATTGCAAAAAAGGGGAGGAGGATAAAATAGAAAATGGCGTTTCCTGTCGCCGTCACCGCCAGAATGGCGGCCATGGTGCGTTTTTATTTTCACCGTACTCTTCCGGCCGCGTCTGGTCGTTTTTGATTATTTTTTTTAATTTTCGGTGAGCCAACCGGTTTGCTTACTTTTGCTTGATTAATTCGGTGGCGAGCTTCAGTCCATCGCTTCCACGCGTTGATTATAGTTCATCTCTAATGTGACAGCGTGCCACTTGCGTATCTTAAATTTAACCAAACGACCTCTTGTGACGTGAAGAAATTAATGTTAAGGTATTTGAAATATGATGTTTTAAGTTTGGAAACAGGTTTTAAACGATTAGATGTTAATATGAATCCTTTTGTATTCAATGATAGTCAATGTACGTAACTATATAATAATGTAATTAAAATATTTTTTTTTAATTATTGTGATAAAATAAAGAAGACAAACCATTTTGGAAATTCACCGTTTCGTTTTCAATTGGCGAAATCGTTAATAATAGCAGAGAACTATATCTGTATTAATAACTGGAGAAATCAAAACAAGCTGGCTGATGGTAATAGAATTGATTAATCCAATGAAGATAGCTCAACGGCGGGCGAATGATCAATTTGCAATCAAAATGAGCCCCTTTGGTGGAGTACCGTAGACAAGTATACCGTCGCTTTGCATCATAATGCTTCTCTGTTGATGATCTTCGCCGAAAATCTTAGTTTGAGTTTCGATTAATATTACGAGTAGTGATGCTATTGTGTGAGTATATGATTAATAATTTCACTCTTACGCTTTAATACCATATGTGTCAAGAAGTTGATATTTTGCAGGACCTAGTAAATCTAACATAAAAGTTTAATTTGTTAATTATAACGAACGGTGGAGCTTAATTTTAAGTTCAGATTTACATATACTTAACATTAACATAAGTTATTGTGTATAAATCAACTACTCGTTTAACTAACGATATGATTTTTTGCAAAAACCCGATTCGTTTCCCTGCAATAAAATTATATTTCCTTTCTCGATATTTTTAGTAATTGTTTACTATTGTATATATGTATTATTATAAGACACTAACAAAGGGTTGCCATTTACATATAAATTCGTGGCTGAATATAGGGACACTTGAAATTTCGAGAATCTCGGAATTGTAAATAAATTCAAATTCATAGTTAATTATAATTAGCTTTAATAAGAAAACGCTGACATTATTACAAATTGTGCAACGGGCAAAAACTTTTTGAGATAAAAAAATATAATTAAAGAAAGTTTTTTAAATACAAGCTTTTATTTGTGCGCACTAAAACCTAAATAAATAAATTCTTAATGTTTGAAGTATGTACTTATAATCAAAATTGTCTCTAAAAGTGATTGACTTAAAAACACATGTTTTTTCGAGCTACAAGCTTTTAAAATCAATCACTGATAGAGACAATTTTGATTATGAGTACTTTACATATTTAGAATTTATATATTTAGGTTTTAATGCACACAAATAAAAGCTTTATTTTTGGGAAATGCTTAAAAAATCCACTGTCCCTGGCTCTCTGAGACAGGACTCGAACCCATGACTATCCGGGCGACTGCTCTAACAACGAAGAGAATTTTTCAAGCACTTGTAACTTCTTCGCCGCAATAAATATTTTTACACAGAGAGGCAGTGGCAATGGATTATTGAAACATTTTCCATTAAGAATGTTTTTCACTATAAAATTGTTAAGGCAAAATAGATCAAATATAAAAATATTTTCATTGTTTACTTTTGTCTCAATATGTAGTTGTAAACATAATGAGGAATCTATAGAGCCCACATACGATGACCACCTTCCGACTTTATCATCATATCAACTCACTGACTTCATAATATTTCATTGTCGTTTGATTTACATGTACTAACAGGTGAACAAATTCGAGTTCCAAGATTTGCGCACTAATTAACACACTAACCAATATTCACGTGATGTTTTTTCAGCATTATTTCAACTCCCCACCCCTAAACCACGTGTATGTTTTAGTACATAAAAAAACTCAGGCTAGACTCTATAAACCAGGATTGTGAGAAGCTGGAGTGTAATAATATCATGATCAACAATACATCAAAGTTCTCTAAAACGAGACACAGATTTCTGGTATTGAAACTTACTTCACGGAATACTGTTTACGAATATAGCCCGCACCTGAACTTGCACCAGCTAGGTGAGATCAAATGGTTCTATATTTATTCAACACGTGAGATTTGTTCGCTTCTATTGGCTTTGCATGTATTCGATGAAACGATGCCATAATCAGTAACACCGCAAGTTTGTTTACAAAGCGTTGTGGAAATTGCAGTTATGTTTGGTTGCGTATCGAGTCTCAGTTTATATAAGCTGTGAATAATAAACTTGATATAAAAATAACACGTTACACCTAAGTATATCAAAGAATCGATATAGAAAATGAATATTATTTAAAGTTTGTTTTGTGAAACGAGAGATTAGTTTTCTTTGGGCAGTGACTATTTCTGAAAAGATTTTTATTAAGTGATAAAATAGGGATTATAAATATAAATTAAATATAAGGTAGTGCCATCTAACAAGATTGAACTTTTGAAAACCAAATATAATAAAGTAGAAATTGCCATGCAATTACAGTTGAATAACCATTAGTTACATAGAGCTGTAGTCTTAATCTCACGGCGGGCTTTTCCGCAACTCGACACTCTGTGCCTATTTTGCGTGATAAAACATAGAGCTGTAAATTTAAATTAGTTTTATCTAAAGCTTTTGAAAACTGAAACCCTTCTTAGGCGGCGCACCTCACTTATTTAAGTAAAGAGTATTTTTATTGTCATATTCAACAAATGATTGTAAATTACCTAATCTTTTTGAGATCTCAGAGTTGTGCATCTTGGGGTTGTCCTGTGCTATCTTCCTCCTTTGTAATCGAGACCACACCATGAAGGCGTTCATAGGTCGCTTGATGTGCTCCTCAGGCGATTTTTTTGATTGCTGCCCGTTCATGGCAATGGAGCCCATGGTGCCTATGGCACCCATTGCTGACATTCCCATAGGAAAGTGGCCCATTGAACCGCCGAAGCTGGTACGATCGCACATCGCACCAGTGGCACTGTAAGTAAACATACAAATCATTATTATAACTGCATTCATTAAATATAAATCATTAAATGTAAATAGTACCTACGTAATACCTAGTAATATTGAAAAGATTTCACGACCAGAAAGGATTAATCTTGTCTAGATTATATTGGCGATGATGCTGTCACTAAGAATTCTAAAATAAAAATTGCATACTATTTTACTTTTAAAAATATTAAATCTTATTATTTTCAGGACCTCTTTCCAATTGTAATTACATTTGAAGTCAGCAGGTTAAAAGCATGACTGTTAAATTCAAATAACGCTTATTGCATTTGGTAACCTTTATAGTTTTTCTTTTGTTACTTTTTAAATTTCTACTCTATATCTTCACGACAGATTCCTTTCAGGTGGACAGAGATAATATTATTGCATTTTAAATGATTAGATTCAATATTTTTAAAAGAGGAAAATTGACCAGTTAATTATACAGATAGTTTAGTTGAAAAGAGAATTAAAATGTCTATCAGATAGAAACTGGTACTCGGAATATGTAGTTAAATGAATTTGTGTTTTATTTTTATAGCCATATTAATATATTATAATGACCCATCCATTCGGTCTAATGACGTGATATATAATGATGATGATTTATAACATATTTTATATTTTTATATCTTTATAACATTTAAAAATTAGGCACACGTAGATATAACATGAAAAATAAAATCCGTGTATCTAATAAAGCTCCCCACCGGTGTTCCAATCCTAAGAGCCCTCGCACACGTGCACAATTGTAACTTTTAATATGCTCGCGACAATTACCGCGTTCATACTACCAGAAAATATTAATATCCAGGCTGCAGGATAGAGAGGGTGTTTTTTAAATACTTACCCACTCTGCAACATCACTTTAGAGAGGATTGGTGACCGATGTAATAATAAATGAATTTTTATTTTTAATTTCGCTTATATTAACGAAAGTCTATTTGGAATTAAACTACTAACATTTATTCATCAAAAAGAGAAAACATATGATTATAAATATACCCAAAAATGTAGAAAGAACCCGTCGAGATCTTTATTGTTATTATGAATATTAAGTAGTTTTAATTAAGTTTCAAATGAAAATCGTATTGAGATTGGTTTTATAACATTCAAGTCGTGTACCTATGATTAATAAATACACAACAAGAAAACGGCAGCCATATTTAAAAGTTTAGTCATTAATTTCAGTGCACCTTTTATGATATCAATCCATCATTTAATTTACTGATTAAACTATCCGGGTGTAAGCCGGTTAGTGGATTCGTTTTGAACTAATGACCAACCCCAACTATAAAAGGGGAATTGATATATTTTATGATGAGAAAACATATTATTAACTAAGTAGAGATAGACGTTGCTTGAAATTAAGACAATATAATGATCTTGATACCTCATTCTCGTTTTAACACAACATTCGTTCATTGATAATAAGAATAGCTCAATGGAGACAAACCAAAGGGGTTACTGTATTCCGAATATACAGAAATACATCCCATTAGATGTGTTGGGTACACTTCGTAATAGCTAGTCCCCAGTCCAGTGGCTACTTCGCAGGACTCTGTGAACTCTTGCGCAAACATTGACCCACTCAGACTTAAGGAGCCCAACTAAATTGAAAGAAGCAAACTGACTAATTTCTGGTGTTTCGTTTTTATGACACGTTATAAAAAGTTTATCTTTATGTTATTACTATATTTCACAATAAAATCTCAACTAGGTAACTCTATAATAAAACCTTATTTATTATAAGAATTATATGACTTTAGTTTTTCCTGAAATTTTGACAGATTTTTGTAAGTTACTAATATTTTTATAATTTCTTATCTTTAAAAAATAATAGCGTTACTTTATCCTAATGTTGTGAAACGTGCATTGTTCTCCACAGCTAAAAAAAGTCTTGAAGTGATGGTGCCTACGACCATGGACTTGGACGGATGGAAAATGGACTATTCAAGAGTTAACGCTATCAATTTGAATAGAAAATGTCGGCTTCTATAGTTTCGTACATTGAGTTGAAACTATTGCACACGAAGTACTCAGGTGGCTTGAGGATCATCAAATTTGTGATGCCGGTATCTTAAAATTTTGAAAAAAGTTTTCATTTATTAAAATAAATCTGGCATAATTTTTCTCTTGTGAATGAAAATTTCATTGTGAATAACTTCGTATGTTTATGAAAACCGCATGAATAAAGATGAAGAGCGGCTTTATTTTAAATTATAGGCTATGTCATCCACGTATTATATTACCTTCCTGTATTATGTACCTTCCCGAAAGTGAAAGAGTTTTAAAACTTTGCCTGTAATTTCGAAGCATTCAACGCGATCAATATTTTTATATCAATATAGATAAGGTTATATCTATAGACAAATGTTTGACTGTGTTATCACAGCAGAAGCCTTTCATTTTATTGGATAGATTTATCAACAACTGATAATATTCACGTTAAACTTTATTCAATAAATAAAATGCCAAGTGAATAGTATAGCAGCAGTTTTAGTTCAGAAGTCACGGTTTTAGCACTTCTCGTTTCCCAGAATATGACAAAGACAAACGCGCTACTGTTGGAAGAAGGCCTTTAGATGCCGACGCAAACATACACTTTATCTAAACAATTAACGGGGGCCGGTGACAAAATGACAATATTGGAGAAGCCATGTGTCTTTTTAATGTCCATTCCGGTATATGACTATATTTTTGCTGAGGTATATGAATTATCTTCTTCCGTTTCATTTAGTTGCCTGTCAAACTCCAATTTAGATTTCAACTACTTGTATTGAGTTTAATATCAAATGTAAGAATCATTATAATTATAAAACTATTTCTATTAGCATTATGAATTCATGTTGTAAAATAATCCGTCCTGGTCTGTATGTACGCGATAAATACAAAAATGATCAAACAGATTTCCAGGATATTTATTTATTTATTTACACTTCATTGTACAACACGCTACAGATACATATTTATAGAACAATACAAACATGAAAATCCCAATTGTACAATAGGCGGCCTTGTCGCTTAACAGCGATTTCTTCCAGGCAACCAAAATGGTAAGAAGAAATCTTATGCCCAGAACTAAATAAATAAACGAGGGTAAGGTGTGCGCATTGCAAAATTAAAGTTATTTATTTGAGTAGAAACATACTAAACTTTAAGAATTATATATTTATATCGTACATTTACCACAATATAACGGGTTTACAAAAATAGTTCAAGTTTAGGGTTTATGAACATGACTGTTGAAGATGTCAGCAAAAATAATGATTACTGAGAGCTTATTACTAGATCAAAAAACCTATTTTACGGGGTAGGTGTAAGGACTTTGTGATATTATATTTAGTTTTAGACATTATGTAGGTTAAAACAGACAATACAGAGTATCCGAAATTGCAAAGAAGAAAATTGGACTTGTAATTTCACAACGTAACTTCATCGACATCAGCTAAGAAAATTGATTATGTAAAAATAAAAAATAGACAATTCAATAAAAATATCTTATTATAGGAGGAAATAAATATTATAGGGTTAAGCAACAGTTTATCTCGAGAGAGAAATATTTTGTTTACGTGATCATTTTAAACGCACATAAAATGAACTTTTATTCAAAAAGTGTTGGTTATACAAAACTTCGAAAAGTCTATGAAAAGAAACACCTTTCATCCGACAACTCTTTTGTCTCCAAACAAGTGAAATCGTCGAAGCTCACTAATGAGGTGCGTATACGCAAGCATGATCGGTTGTTTGCTCTGCGGCGAGAACACAGACCGACGGCTTGTTAGCAAAGTTTATAGAAAAAATTACAGTACACTCGTTATTCACTTCTTTATTTCAAACAGTTGATGTTATGATCGAGACTACGTACTGACATCGACTATGTTCGGGATGACAACACATCAGAGGTGCTAAAACTGTACGCAAACAAGCAGATGTCGCGTATATTACAATAATGATATGTGAATTGTGTAAGTTGAGCTAACAATTTGTATCTTGGTACTGGTTTTTCTTTTGAATCTCTCGGTAGTGAAGTTTATACGAGGAATTCGTTATATTTGAAATACTCTCATTGTTTGCTTATGACTTAATCTAGTTCTCCCTGGTAACTAGATATTGTGGAACTGAGCGCATCTTATTTATCGAGGAACAGTAGCATAGCTCGGATTATATATGTGAACATTCAAAAGTTATGTTTTGGTATGGGTAAAGATTGGGAAAATCTATTGTAAGTAACTTAAAGCATGTTATTTAATTATACGACTATTTAATGACTAAATTGACTATTTAATGAAATTTAAATTTACTGCTATTTAATGAAATGACTAACAACACTACGAAAAAGATTCTCCTATATCGAGCTTTCAATTATATCTTCACCAGTTCCCATAGTCAACAATATCGAAAGAACCGACCATCAAAAATAAATAGAATTTGAAAAATATTAAAAAGTCAAATGAAAAAAGCTTAAGAACGATTTAAAAATATATTATTACCGAACGTATGGATTGTAATGAGACAATTTCAGCGAATTCCCAATTAGCCCATGTGTTTCAATCCAGTGAGTGTTATTACAAGAAAAGGGTAATTTGGGCCGATAACTTGTATATTGATATATTAAAGTTATGAAAGCCGTCGGCGGTGTACAAAGCCAAACGGCCATTGTAAAAGTGTAAAAATAATAAATGGTTTTTTATGACGGCCAATATAAAGATACAGCTATTGTGGGTTCATTAGGCAATCTGTAAAATGCCTAATTGGCTATATAAAGGCTGCTGGTCATTTTTGTTCATTCGGTTTTTTTTTCGATAGCATTTGTATCGTTTCTTTAATCTTTGTCTTTTGAGTAATGAAGAGTATTGTAAAACACGAATCAATATTTTAGTGTAACATAGCGCTCATCGAGTAGCAAAACATTATTTGGGCTTTGTTTGATTTAATTTATAATTTGGTGTGAATCTATTCGATTACTAATGTCGCTCAAATCCACT